AAATTACAAATGTAAATATGTAATACACATTGTGTGTAGTTTTTAAAGGAAGAAAAAAAATAAAATTTCAATTTTTTTTAAAACAATAATAATAATAATAATAATACATGTAATAATAATTTTTTTATTTAAAGAGGGTAACACAGTTAGCTGTAAAAACTAATCTTCCCTGAAGCCCTCATGAAATACATTGAAATATAACAAACAAAGAATTACAAATTAATCAAACAAATACACACATTAGCTAGTGTGTAGGGAATTAATACATCACAAACTTTCCCTCATTAATTTTAATATCTAATTTTCATGATTAGCAGGGCTCATGCTACCATGCGACTGGGGCGACAAAGTCGCTTTCCCGTCATTCACTTCGCTTTGACCAACTGTCAAAAGCGAAATCTAGTCGCCCTGTTGTTCACGATACTCGCTTTCAGTCGCTTTCGTCATCGGCAATATTCAATTTTTACCAAGTCGATGAAACAGCAATTTTTCATTTAAAAGTAAAGAAATTCAAGGACATAAGCAATTAATTTTCTTCAGAAAAGAGATTAAAGCATTGATTTTAAAGTTGGTTGCATGTTATTTCATAAAGACAATTTTTTATCACTTCCGGTACTTGTTGCTCAAAGTGTACATCAAATCATTCTAACTTTCGGCAAAATAAGTTTGTTTCTTCATTAGAACGTGATGAAATTTGACTGAAGTAAATTTGTTATCCATGTATTGCATTAAAAACATCATATTCCTTTCCAAATAGCGTGTCAAACATCGTTTATTTTTGTAAATTTTCTTCGTCCGCCATTGAAATATTGTACGAACTACTGATCGAAGTCGGAACCGGACCAGCTATGACCGAAATCTGGATTCTCATGTTAATGACTACGGACACATGAATGGCACAGCTGACAGAAGAATATTGATCCCAAAAGGAAAAATTACGCATTCCACGCGCATTAATATACTTTTGGTTAGATCTACTTGATAAATGTATATATTTCAATGTATATGCATTGTTTCAATTTATTAATTAAAATTGCTCAACTCTGGGACTATTATACTATGTTCATTAGCTTAACTTATACATCTTTTTAATGAGAAACACTGAATTTCATAAACATGATAACAGAGTACATTTTTTTTTTTAATTGATATAATAACTTTCTTTTCATTTTTGATATAAAAAAAAAAATCTTTTTTATTATTGCTAGATATTTAATTGTTTTTTTCTGACAAGAGGACTAATATGATTGTGCAACTAGATAAGATACAATTAAACAACTTGAATTTGAACTGTTATTTTTATTGTAAGCCCAGGAACAAATTGAACAATATAAAAAAAAACCATATGGCCCTTTGTATTATAGTAAAAACCAAACATTGTAGCGCAGCGAGCGAACGAGCACTTCTCTTTCAAATCTCACCACTTCTCCCTCTCAGTTTCAAAAAGAGTAGTCACTTCTCCCTATAATTCTGAAGTAGTGTGAGCCCTGGATTAGTTATCAAAATGTTAAAATAAACAAAATTTAAATTAACTTCATTGTTCCTGTCCTGGAATGGTAATACCAGAAACTGGACACAATCATCTCTACAAACTCAGTTTTTTGTTTTAAACATCTGTTTGTCTAGTAATATTATCAGTCCCTTTATCAGCATGAGATGACATATTTACAGCTCTACTTAACCATTTTATAATTGAGAGAAGATATGAAACTTTCATTCTGAAGGGTTTAGATTTAATCTTTAAAATCTATAAAAGTTACCTTTAATTATATTCAAAATATATAATAATGAACAGTAAATTTCAAACTATATTTATACATGATTTGATGTTATATCTTTTTATAACTATGACTCTACTTATAATTTCTATATATTGTGCAATACAGCTCTGAATTTGAATTGTGATTATATATTTGACATAGCATAGTTTCTAACACAGAATGAATGTGGTCTAAGAACATAAAAATTGGAAATTGGACTTTTACCTATTATGGTCCAATATCCAAAATCTAAAAACATGGTTAGAATCAGTATAGGGGTTCAGTTTACCATGGTAGGGGATTCATTTTTTCATGGCTAAGTAAAAACTTTTATAAATATTTCCTAACATGTTTTATTCCTACCAAGTACTTATTTAAGCAGTATAACTATATAACATAGCTTGAAAAGCTATGACAATTTGAAAATCTGAGGTCTATAGGAGGGGGTTCAGTTTTCCCAGGTAGGGGGTTCAATTTTCCATGGATGAGTAAAAAAATATTAAAACATTTCCTAACATGTTTTATTCCTACCAAGTACTTATTAATGCATTATAACTATATAATATAGCTGGGATAACTATGACAATTTGAAAAGTTCAGGTCTATAGGGGGTTCAGTTTTCCATGTTAGGGGGTTCAATTTTCCATGGCTGAGTAAAAATGTTTAAAATTTTTTTTTATCGTGTTTTATTCCTTTCAAGTACTTATTAATGCATTATTACTATATAACTTAGCTGGAATAGCTATGACAATTCGAAAACTGGGGTATTTAAGGGTGGTTCAGTTTTTATTTAATTAATTAGAATATTTCATTAATTAATAAGTACTTGGTAGGAATAAAACGAGTTAAAAAATATGTTTATCATGTTTTACTCAGCCATGGAAAATTGAACTCCCTACCATGGAAAACTGACCCCCTATACTATAGATGTCAGATTTTTAAATTGTCATAGATATTCCAGCTATGTTATATAGTAATAATGCATTAATAAGTACTTGGTAGGAATAAAACATGTAAAAAAATATTTTTTTAAATTTTACTCAGCCATGGAAAATTGAACCCCCCTCTATAGACCTCAGATTTTCAAATTTTCATATAATGCTTAACCTAATTTTCATTTGACATTTATTTAAAGGAAAAACAGTAGGTTCAATTTACCATGGGGGGTTCAATTTCCCGCTATGGACCCGGGATCAATTTTCCATATGGGATTTTGACCCCAGGTTCAATTTTCAGTGGGTTCAATTTTCCATATGGCTCCGGTCCAAAAATCAAAAATATGAATACATGGTTAAGATTCAGCATATCCCCAAAAAAAAAAAAAAAAACGATTTGGACCAACTTGAAAACTGGGCCCAAAATCAAAAATCTAAATACATGTTTCGATTCAGCATATCAATAAAGCCCTTGAATTCAATTTTTGTTTAAATCAAACAAAGTTTAATGTTGGACCCTTTAGACCATCATATAGAACAATTCAAAAACAGGGCCTTAACTCCAAATACTAAATACACGGTTAGATTCAGCATATTAAAGAACCCCCAAGAATTGAAGACTTTCAAGTAAACCCCATTGAAATTGGTCAAGAAATAAGCAATTTATACAAAGTATTACAAAAGTATTGTTTTTGACCCCTCTTTCCTAAACAGTTAGGGTCATAACCCCCAAAATCAATCCCAACCTTCCTTTTATGGTATGGAACCATGTGGTACAATTTCATAGCGATCCAAAGACTTATACTCAAGTTATTGTCCAGAAACCAGAAAATCCTAGTTTTTTGGCCCCTTTTCAGCCCTTAATTATTAAACAGTTTGGGCCTTGGCCCCAAAAATACATTCCAACCTTCCTATTGTGGAATGGAACCTTGTGCTAAAATTTAATAGAGATCCATACACTTATACTCAATTTATTGTCTATGAACCAGTAAAATGCTTGTTTTTGGATCCTTTTTGGACTCATTACAAAACGGCTACGACAATATCCCCCAAAATCAATCCCAACCTCCCTATTGTAGTATGGAACCTTGTGCTAAAATTTCATAGAGATCCATTACTTATACTCAAGTTATTGTTTGCGAACCAAAATGTCTTCGGACGCCGACATCGCCATAACATAATACGTACGCAAAACATTTTGCGGTCGTATAAAAATTATTCTATGCCAACCATTTTTTGAAAATGCCCACCAGTACATGAATTTTAAGAAAACTTATATTTTTGGAGAAAACAGCATGAATTAATTGCTGGTAGCAAAGTTTATGAAAATTGACAACTCCATGAAATATGAAAATATGCATCTTTCTCTGTGCCTCATACAAAAATTTGCAGGCTGTGCCCTTGCTGATATGTCAGTTTTCAAGATATAATCTTATTAGTATCTTAAACTTAAAATATATAATGGAAAAGATTAAAGATCAGTTTTCTTTTAACCATGGTATTTTGAACCTCCTTTCATGGAAAAATTGAACCCCCTTTAGATATAAGAATTTCAAATCATCAAAACATTTAAGCTTCATAATCCAATTATAACTTCTTAACGTTTCTTGAATGAAAAGTAAAATCATAAAAATACTGAACTCTGAGGAAAATTCTAAAAGGAAAGTCCCTAATCAAATGCAAAATCAAAAGCTCAAACACATCAAACGAATGGATAACAACTGTCATATTCCTGACTTGGTACAGGCATTTTCTTATGTAAAAAATGGTGGATTGAACCTGGTTTTATAGCTAGCTAAACCTCTCACTTGTATGACAGTTGCATCAAATTCCATTATATTGACAACGATGTGTGAACAAAACAAACAGACACAATAGGTAAAAATGTCAAAAATAGGGGTACAGCAGTCAACATTGTGTTATCATCTTAATCACTATTAAAACAAACAAATGTAACAAAGAAGCACCAAAAGGCATACATCAAATTTAACATCCTCATTTTGCTTTTTTATCATACGATTTTATTTATCTATGTAAAATCCACCCATAAAGGATGGAAGGTTTTAAGTACTGGCGTAGAATCGGGTGTTTGACGTCACACAGGTAGATATGAAATAATTTTGTCGTTCAAAGTATGACGGGATACATAAGTAGAGTCATGTCAAATGGATATCACAAAAAACAGACTTAACAGTAAAAGTAATATTAATAAAATACTAGAGGCTCTCAAGAGCCTGTGTCGCTCACCTGTATTTACTGATGCTTTGGAAATCATGTAAAATCAGGTTAAAATCATGATTAATAATAATAATAATAATAATAATTCTTTATTTAAAGAGGGTTACACAGTTAGCTATAAAACTAATCTTCCCTGAGGCCCTCATGAATTACAATGAAATAAAACAAACAATTACAAAATATCAAACAAGCACACATATATGAAAAAACAAGAGTGCACACACTGAAATGTCTCGCCTTCTTTACTAATCATTGATATTATGTTGATAGTCCTAAATATAAAGCTTTATTACAACTGTCACATAAACTTAACATTAACCAAGAAAACTAAACATTGACCAATGAACCATGAAAATGAGGTCAAGGTCAGATGAACCATGCCAAGCAGACATGTACAGTTAACAATTCTTCCATATAACAAATATAGTTGACCTATTGCTTATAGTTTAAGACCAAAACACAAAAACTTAACACTGAGCAATGAACTGTGAAAATGAGGTCAAGGTCATATAAAACCTGCGCGACTGACATAAAGATCATAAAATATTTCCTTACACCAAATATAGTTGACCTATTGGATATAGTATTAGAAAAAAAGACCAAAACTCAAAAACTTACCTTTGACAACTGAACCATGAAAACGAGGTCAAGGTCAGATGACACCTGCAAGCTAGACATGTACACCTTACAATCATTCCATACACCAAATATAGTAGACCTATTGCATACAGTATAAGAAAAACAGACCAAAACACAAAAACTTAACTATAACCACTGAACCATGAAAACGAGGCCAAGGTCAGATGACACCTGCCAGCTAGACATGTACACCTTACAATCATTCCATACACCAAATATAGTAGACCTATTGCATACAGTATAAGAAAAACAGACCAAAACACAAAAACTTAACTATAACCACTGAACCATGAAAACGAGGTCAAGGTCAGATGACACCTGCCAGCTAGACATGTACACCTTACAATCATTCCATACACCAAATATAGTAGACCTATTGCATACAGTATAAGAAAAACAGACCAAAACACAAAAACTTAACTATAACCACTGAACCATGAAAATGAGGTCAAGGTCAGATGACACCTGCCAGCTAGACATGTACACCTTACAATCATTCCATACACCAAATATAGTAGACCTATTGCATACAGTATAAGAAAAACAGACCAAAACACAAAAACTTAACTATAACCACTGAACCATGAAAACGAGGTCAAGGTCAGATGACACCTGCCAGCTAGACATGTACACCTTACAATCATTCCATACACCAAATATAGTAGACCTATTGCATACAGTATAAGAAAAACAGACCAAAACACAAAAACTTAACTATAACCACTGAACCATGAAAATGAGGTCAAGGTCAGATGACACCTGCCAGCTAGACATGTACACCTTACAATCATTCCATACACCAAATATAGTAGACCTATTGCATACAGTATAAGAAAAACAGACCAAAACACAAAAACTTAACTATAACCACTGAACCATGAAAATGAGGTCAAGGTCAGATGACACCTGCCAGCTAGACATGTACACCTTACAATCATTCCATACACCAAATATAGTAGACCTATTGCATACAGTATAAGAAAAACAGACCAAAACACAAAAACTTAACTATAACCACTGAACCATGAAAACGAGGTCAAGGTCAGATGACACCTGCCAGCTAGACATATACACCTTATAATCATTCCATACACCAAATATAGTAGACCTATTGCATACAGTATAAGAAAAACAGACCAAAACACAAAAACTTAACTATAACCACTGAACCATGAAAATGAGGTCAAGGTCAGATGACACCTGCCAGTTGGACATGTACACCTTACAGTCCTTCCATACACCGAATATACTAGACCTATTGCTTATAGTATCTGAGATATGGACTTGACCACCAAAACTTAACCTTGTTCACTGATCCATGAAATGAGGTCGAGGTCAAGTGAAAACTGTCTGACAGGCATAAGGACCTTGCAAGGTACGCACATACCAAATATAGTTATCCTACTACTTATAATAAGAGAGAATTTAACATTACATAAATTGTTAACTTTTTTTTCAAGTAGTCACTGAACCATGAAAATGAGGTCAAGGACATTGGACATGTGACTGACGGAAACTTCGTAACATGAGGCATCCATATACAAAGTATGAAGCCTCCAGGTCTTCCACCTTCTAAAATATAAAGCTTTTAAGAAGTGAGCTAACGCCGCCGCCGCCGCCGCCGCCGCCGGATCACTATCCCTATGTCGAGCTTTCTGCGACAAAAGTCGCAGGCTCGACAATGAAATAAAAAATTGTTATGAAATATACAATTTTCAAAACAGGTAAAAATTACAAATTCATATAGTATTGGCATCATTCAAATTACCTCAATAATATCTTAAGTTTGAGTAAGTGTGTGAAAATTATTATACATATAAAGTTACACAGCTTCTTAATGTTCCAACAAGTAATTTTTTAAATCTTTTTTGAATGAGCTTGTACTTGAGGTTGATTTTTTTTTAGGGATGTTGGTAAGTTATTCCATAAAATAGATCCTGAATATATAAACGATTTCTTATACAGCTCTGTTTTGGCTTTTGGAACTTGTAAATTTTTGCAAGACGCATTCCTCAAACAATATTGGTTAATTTCTGGCATTTCTTTGAATTTTTCAATGAGATATATAGGGGCTTTGTTCTTAAGGCATTTCTGCATCAAAACAGATTTGTGGTATGAGATTCTGTTCTCTACTGTCATCCACCCAAGCTGTTTAAACAGTGGAGATGATGATGAAAGTGGATCAGCATCTAAAATAAGTCTTGCAGCCCTTTTCTGCAATTTTATTATTCTGACTAGCTCATTTTTAGCACAACCACTCCAAATAATACAACAATAATCTATCAGTGGGAGAATATAGCCATTATAAAACAATTTTCTTGAATCAATATTTAGAAATTTCTTGATTTTAGAGAGTAAATGAAGTCTGGATGATATTGATGAACATAAGTAATTAACATGGTCTGTCCAGGACAGATTAGAGTCAATTCTAACACCTAAAAGTTTATCAATTGATGATTTTTGAAGAATATTATTCTCAATAGTTAGAACTGGTTCTGCTTGATTTAAACGCAGCCTTTGTCTTGTACCTATAACCATACATCTAGTCTTATCTGAATTTATGAACATGTTATTTTTATGACACCATTTTTCAACACATTGGAGATCATCTTGTACTTTTAATTGCATATCAACAATACTCTTTCCTGATGTATGCATAGTTGTGTCATCAGCATACAAGTCTGTATGGCAGTTTTTGATGTGTAATGGAAGGTCATTTATGTACAAAACAAACAAAATGGGACCAAGTATTGAGCCCTGTGGAACACCAAAATTTATAAACTTTTAATCAGAAAACTAATTATTTATTTGGACTTGCTGTGTTCTTTCACTCAAATATGATTTTAAAAAATCAACAGTATCTTCATGGAAGCCATAAATTTGAAGTTTTTTACATAAAATTTCATGATCAACAACATCAAAAGCTTTCTTAAAATCCAGGACTGCCAAATTGATATTTCCATTATTCATTTCATGTAGCCATTTATCAATGATATTAATTAGGGCAGTTTGACATGAATGGTTAGGTCTAAAACCAGACTGGGAAGGATGTAAAATTTGAAACTTTGTCAAATAATTATACAGATGTTTAGATACATGTCTCTCTATTAATTTTGATAATGTTGGCAAAACAGATATTGGTCTGTAATTGCTAGCTACGTTTTTTTCACCAGATTTGAAAATTGGAGCTACCTTGGCATTTTTTAAAACAGATGGATAAATACCAGTATCAATCATTCGATTAAAAATGTATGTTAAGGAAGATGCTACGAAAGGAGCACTCAGTTTTAAAATTTTTGGACCTATATTGTCAGAACCAGAAGATGTCTTAACGTCTAGTTTAATTATTTCATCAAATAGTTCTGAAACATTTACTGGAGGAATGATGAACTTGTTGTGTTAAGAATTTCATTTGTACATAGTTTGTCAGAGTATTAAAATTTGAGTTACTTGGTGTCCTGCTATGCCTTAATTTTTCAACACATGAGGTGAAATAATTATTGAATTCATTAGCAATTTCTTTATGATCTGTAGTTATATGGTTTCCGGTTGCAATAAGTTCATGTGGTTTTGATGGATTAGATGGATTTAGACTGTGAATACATTTCCAGAGTGTTTTAGAATCTTTTGAGTCTTTTATCATATCATTGTAATATTTCTGTTTAGATGTATCAATAATATGTTTTGTTCTGTTTCTCCAGAATCTATATTCAGCCCACATTCCCAGTAAATTATATTTATCTCTCATTTTTCTTGCATATGAGATTTCTTTATTGTACCATTCTGGCTGTCGGTCTTTTTTTAACCCTCTTTTTCACAATAGGGGCATGTTTATTTAAAATGTTATTAAAAATGTTGTACCAAATTTCAATACAAACAGATGGGTCATTTTCAAATTCAATATGTTGAAAAGGTGCACTTTTTAAATCTTTTAAATAATTTTGCTCATTAAAAGTCTTAAAATTTCTATAAGTGGTTGTTGAATGAGTATGTTTTTTATCATACATTTTCTCTTGTCTTGTCATGCATATTGGATAGTGATCACTGATAGAATATTTAGAAACATGAGCCTCTTTAACAATGCTTAAATGGGTGACATATATATGGTCAATTAAAATTTTTGATTCATTTGTTACTCTGGTTGGTTCCTTAATTAACTGTTGAAAGTTATAAGTTTCTAGAGCATTTAACCATCTTTGTGGTATTTTATTGGGTTGTAAACAATTTATGTTAAAATCTCCCATAAGGATTACGTCTAAATTATATTTCATTGCCACCTTAATCTCATCCTCAAATTTATCTATCCAACCAATTAGTGACTTGGGTGGCCTATAAACAAAGCACAAAAAAAGGATTTCTTATAGCTAGGTTTAATTTCAAACCTAATAGTTTCAATGTTACTTATTTCAAAATCAATTTGTCTAGAAAAGGAGGTGGTTTCTGTTAAATAGACAGCCCAGCCACCCCCACCATCAGTTAGTCTATCTTTCCTTTGTAAAATATATCCAGGAATATCTATTTCTCTATCAGAAGTATTTTTACCCAAAAAAGTTTCACAGTAACCAATTATATCTGGGGGATTTGGAGTGGACATTAGATTGTATTTAATCTCATCAAACTTGCATTCCAATCTATTCACATTGTGGGAACATATTTTAAGACCTTTGCATTTCTCAAATCAATATGTTACAAGATTATCATTTTCTGTATCCTTATCAATAAGATAAGTATTGTCAATAACACATAAACATGACACACATATTATATAATATGTAAATAAAAATATAAAAAAATCCTCAATACTAGAAGTGGCCTCAGGGATTTGTATTACAAGAGTATTTGTTTTGTACATTATGTCTTGAGAAACTTGAGATGGCAAAGATAGGGTAAGATCTGGTACCTGCTGAGAGGTTGTATCAACTTGATTTAATGCTGGTGTCATTTTATCAGAGTTATTAATTACATCCTTATGTTTAGATAATTGGTAACAAGATTTTGAACTGCTGGATTCAAATTTCTGATTAGCTAAATTCTTAATACAATACAGACATGTGCAGGAAATATTATTACATTCTTGACATATGTGGTTTAAATTTCAAAAGAATTTTTTTTAAATTTGATTTTGTAGGGCTTTGTCCTCTTTGCCATCACCCTAATGATAAAATTCACAGAATTTTTCTTTGTGACCAAAATTGTTACAAGAGTGACATAGAACCTTTCTACCATGTCTACATGATTTTGAATTATGATTTGGTTCACCACAATGAACACAATACCTTTCAGATTGATCTGTATGCCCTAATATGCTAACATGCATGTTGGCTGATCTAAGGAACGCTGATGTCCCTTTTTTTGACAAATGAATCCCATCATGATGAAAAACAGAATAAGAAAGATGGTAATTCTTATCATAAAACATGTTTGTATGATCAATAAATTGTATGTTAAACTGTTCACATAGGTCTTTCAGCATTTCATTCGGGTTATGCATATTAAATCCTTTTCTGGGTAGAATTCCAGAAACTACAAATTTACAATGTGGGTGACATTTGATATTCAGTAAATATAATAGAGCTTCATAATTATCTCTTATGCTTTGGAGATTGTCACCATTATCAAAGTCATTTCCACCAATATGGATGATAATTGTTCTGTATGTTGACATATCCTTCTTTTTTATCACATCTATCAGTCTATCTATGTTGGCTCCTCTGTTGGTACATACCTCGGTGTTTTGTAGTCCACGGGGCTGAATACCCTTTAAAATGGAACTCCCAATTATTAATGTGGTTTTGTTGTTTTCACCAGTGATAGGATTGGGAATGGGTACTGCATTGTCATTTGAATAATCTTTTGGTCCAAATTCTGTTTTAGTTAATTCAGGTTTTGGAGGTTTTGGTTTTGGTTGGTAGTCATTCACATTATGTGGAGGAGGGTGAAAATGTTTATCATCAGATCCAATGGCTTTGTAGATCTGTCTTGAAACAGTTCTATATTCAATTTGCATTGAAGTATGCCGGGTCTTCAGGGTCTTTTCTTGTTCTTCTGTCTGAGTAGAAACACTTACAGTTTGTGTTGATGAATTGACAGTTTTTGAAAGAGGAAGACTTTGATTCTGCTTGTTTGAATGGATTGTTTTGATAATTGATTCAACCATCTGTTTTAAATCGATTACTTCTTGTTGCAAATCTAGGTTACTATGATCAAGATTTTGTAGATTATGTAAAGTACTGTTCACAGACAAGTGTCTAATTGGGGTTGATGTTATCAAGGTGTTTGACATTTCTTGTACAAATAACTTTGGGTCTGTTACTGAACTGTCAAAGTTTATCATTGATTCTAATAACAGGTTTCCAGTAGACATCTGGTCAGTGTTATTTCCTATTAAAGAAGTTTGGAAATATGTTACCTCATTGTGTAATTGTTTTCCTAAAATACTAAATTCTTCCTTGAACCAATTCCCACATCCTTTTCCTTGTATATGAAGAGTTGCAGACGAACTGTATAGGGTTATCACAACTTTATTCCCTTCATAAATGAAATTATATACAAATCCGTTCTTGTCTTTCTGAATAAATAAATTTCTGTCATAGTTTTGAAAAATAATGTTTTCAAAAATAAAGAATATTTTCTCAAAAATAAATAATAGTATTAGATATTAGATATTATAATGATATCTAAGATAATAACCAAAAAACTGCAAAATTTCTGTAAAATCACTAACTCAGGGGTAGCAACCCAACAACGGGTTGTCGGATTTGTCTGAAAATTTCAGGGCGGATAAATCTAAATCTGATGAACAGATTTGCTCTAAATGCTTTAGTTTCAGAGATATAAACCAACAAGAGTGCACACGCTGAAATGTCTCGCCTTCTTTACTAATCATTGATATTATGTTGATAGTCCTAAATATAAAGCTTTATTACAACTGTCACATAAACTTAACATTAACCAAGTAAACTAAACATTGACCAATGAACCATGAAAATGAGGTCAAGGTCAGATGAACCATGCTAGGCAGGCATGTACAGCTAACAATTCTTCCATACAACAAATATAGTTGACCTATTGCTTATAGTTTAAGAAAAACAGACGAAAACACAAAAACTTAACACTGAGCAATGAACCTTGAAAATGAGGTCAAGGTCAAATAAAACCTGCGTGACTGACATATAGATCATAAAATATTTCCATACACCAAATATAGTTGAACTATTGCATATAGTATTAGAAAAAAAGACCAAAACTCAAAAACTTAACTTTGACCACTGAACCATGAAAATGAGGTCAAGGTAAGATGACACCTGCCAGCTAGACATGTACACCTTACAATCATTCCATACACCAAATATAGCTGACCTATTGCATGCAGTATTAGAAAGAAAGACCAAAACTCAAAAACTTAACTTTGACCACTGAACCATGAAAATGAGGTCAAGGTCAGATGACACCTGCCAGCTAGACATGTACACCTTACAATCATTCCATACACCAAATATAGTAGACCTATTGCATACAGTATAAGAAAAAGAGACCAAAACACAAAAACTTAACTATAACCACTGAACCATGAAAATGAGGTCAAGGTCAGATGACACCTGCCAGTTGGACATGTACACCTTACAGTCCTTCCATACACCGAATATACTAGACCTATTGCTTATAGTATCTGAGATATGGACTTGACCACGAAAACTTAACCTTGTTCACTGATCCATGAAATGAGGTCGAGGTCAAGTGAAAACTGTCTGACGGGCATGAGGACCTTGCAAGGTACGCACATACCAAATATAGTTATCCTATTACTTATAATAAGAGAGAATTTAACATTACAAAAAATCTGAACTTTTTTTTCAAGTAGTCACTGAACCATGAAAATGAGGTCAAGGACATTGGACATGTGACTGACGGAAACTTCGTAACATGAGGCATCCATATACAAAGTATGAAGCATCCAGGTCTTCCATCTTCTAAAATATAAAGCTTTTAAGAAGTTAGCTAACGCCGCCGCCGCCGCCGTAGCCGCCGCCGCCGCCGCCGCCGGATCGCTATCCCTATGTCGAGCTTTCTGCGACAAAAGTCGCAGGCTCGACAAAAACTGCATTTTACCCCTATGTTCTATTTTTAACCATGTCGGCCATGATGGTTAGAAGGCGGGGTCATCGGACAAATTTTTTAACCTAGATAACCTAATAATGATTATGGCCAGGTATGGTTAAATTTGTCTCAGTAATTTCAGAGAAGAAGATTTTTGTACAGAAATTTACGAAAAATTGTTAAAAATTGACTATAAAGGGCAATAACTCCTAAAGGGGTCCACTGACAATTTTGGTCATGGGGGACTTATTTGTAGATCTTACTTTCCTGAACATTATTGCTGTTTACAGTTTATCTCTATCTATAATAATATTCAAGATAATAACCAAAAACTGCAAAATTTCCTTAAAATTACCAATTCATGGGCAGCAACCCAACAACGGGTTGTCAGATTTGTCTGAAAATTTCAGGGCAGATAGATCTTGACCTGATAATCAGTTTTACATTGTAAATTATGGGCCAGGTGAGCTAAAAATAATTTTGTCGTTCAAAGTATGACGGGATACATAAGTACAGAGTCACGTCAAATGGATATCACAAAAAACAGACTTAACAGTAAAAGTAATATTAATAAAGACAAATAAAAGAATACTATAACACGTCTAGAAAACTATGTTTGAAAAGATTTTATAAATCTTTCTTAACCATGGTATTTAACTCCCTATCATGGACAATTGAGCAACCTCCACTAATAGGTCAAAATTTAATTTACACTATATTAACTGGTTATAATGCTGTTATAAGTATCCTGAATCAAAAACATATGTTGGAAAAGATTTTATTACCATTTTTCTTAGCTATGGTAATTTTACCCCATAACAATGAAAGAATTAACCCCATCTCCTAAAAGGTCAACATTTGGATTAATAATAGCCTTTAAACCTCTTGAACTAGCTAAAATGGTTGCAATTTGGATCTTGAATGAAAATTTTAAGTAGAAAAAGATTTTACATCAATTTTCTTAATCATGATATTTTAAATCCACTTCCATGAAAAATTAAATCCCCCTTTAAATATCAGAATCGGAAATAGTTAATTAAGCATTTAAGCTACCTGATCAAATTATAATGTTTTTATTAAGTATCTGAAATAAAATAAAAACATAGGCTGGAGAAGATTTTATAACACTTTTAATTATCCATGGTATTTCTACCCCCTTTCATGGAAAAATGTATCCCCCCCTCCCCCATCAGATGAAGTGTCTGGAACAAATCAACCTGGATGTTCCATTGTCCACTTTGGGAAATTGATAAGATACCAGACCTCCTTATATTTGTTATTTCACTTAACAAACCTACTAAACATATCAACCTTACTTTCTTCTTCAGTTTAATTAATGTGGCTATAAATGACATTCCCTTAACTCTCACTTTGTCTTCTAAGATAGTGTTAGCTGCAGTCTGAAAGTAAGAAATGTTCATATCAATAAGTTTAAATAGTAAGATTGCAATTGGAAAGTAGGAAATACAAGGGTGCATTGTCCTGCATTCTGAAAATCAATTATTACATAATAACAAACAAACCTACCACGAAGTTCTTCAAAACATTTACAAATAAAATGCTCCGCAGGGCGCAGCTTGATACGACCGCAGAGGTTGAACCCTGAACAGTTTGGGCAAGTATGGACACAACATTCAAGCTTGATACAGCTTTGCATTTGGATTGTGATTAAATATTTGACACAGCATAGGTTTCTGACACAGAATGAATGTGGTCTAAGAACTTAAAAATTTTAAATTGGACATTCACCTATTATGGTCCAATATCCAAAATCTAAATACATGGTTAGATTCAGCATATCAAAGAACCCCAAGAATTCAATTTTTGATGAATTTAAACAAAGTTTAATTTTGGACCCTTTTGATCTCAATGTGGATAAAGTTGATAACGGGGCCCAAAAATCAAAAATCTAAATACATGGTTAGATTCAGCATATCAAAGAACCCCATATATTCAATTTTTGTTGAAATCAAACAAAGTTTAATTTTGGACCAACTTTAAAACTGGGCTAATAATAAAAAAATCTAAATACATGTTTAGATTCAGCATATCAAAGAACCCTAAGAATTCATTTTTTGTTAAAATCAAACTAACGTTAATTTTGGACCCTTTGGACCTTAATGTAGACCAATTTGAAAACAGAACCAAAAATTAAGAATCGAAATACACGGTTAGATTCAGCATATCAAAGAACCCCAATAATTCAATCTTTGATGAAATCAAACAAAGTTTAATTTTGGACCCTTTGGACCTCAATGTGGACCAATTTAAAAACGGGGCCCAAAATCCAAAAACTGAATACACGGTTAGATTCAGCATATTAAAAAACCCCAAGAATTCAAGAATAAAACCCCATTGAAATTGGTCAAGAAATAAGCAATTTATACGAAGTATCTTCTCTTGCACAATACTGTGCAATTAAATATTTCTTACTATTGCGCAATACTGTACAATTGACAATTTCTTGCTATTGCTCAATATTGTGCTATTGCGCAATACTGTGCAATTGAAGATTTCTTGCTATTGCGCAATACTGTGCAATTGAAGATTTCTTGCTATTGTGCAATACTGTGCAATTGAAAATTTCTTGCTATTGCACAATACTTATTATATAATAATTTACACATCCTGTTTGGTGTGTATCTCCTACCATATCATTATTATTTGCTTTTAAATATAAATCAGAAATAACCAACTTAAAATGGAAAATTTTAAAAGAAAAAAAAAAGGAAACCCCCCCCCCCCCAATTTTTTGAACCCCCTTATGATTCATCACCCCCAAACTCAATCCCAGCCTTCCCTTTGTGGTATGGTACCTTGCAGTACAATTTCAGAGAGATCCATACACTTGAACACAAGTTATTGTCTGGAAACTAGAAAAATGTGTTTTTTGGCCCCTTTTTGGCCCCAAATTCCTAAACGTTTAGGGCAATTACCCCCAAACTCAAACCCAGCTTTCCCTTTGTGATATGGAACCTTGTAGTACAATTTTAGAAAGATCCATACACTTACACACAAGTTATTGTCCTGAAACTAGAAAAATGCTTGTTTTTTGCCCCTTTTTGGCCCCTAATTCCTAAAGTTTTGAGGCAATTACCCCCATCATCAATCCCAGCCTTCCCTTTGTGGTATGGTACCTTGCAGTACAATTTCAGAGAGATCCATACACTTGAACACAAGTTATTGTCTGGAAACTAGAAAAATGTGTTTTTTGGCCCCTTTTTGGCCCCAAATTCCTAAACGTTTAGGGCAATTACCCCCAAACTCAATAACAGCTTTCCCTTTGTGGCATGGAACCTTGTAGTAAAACTTCAAAAAGATCCATACACTTACACACAAGTTATTGTCATGAAACTAGAAAAATGCTTGTTTTTTGCCCCTTTTTTGGCCCCTAATTCCTAAAATTTTGAGGCAATTACCCCCAAAATCAATCCCAGCATTCCTTTTGTAATATGGAACCTTGTGGTACAATGTCAGAGAGAGATCCATACACTAACACACAAGTTATGTCTGGAAGTTACAAAAATGCTTATTTTTGGCCCCTTTTTGGCCCCTAATTCCTTTACTGTTGGTACCATAACCCCCAAAATCAATCCCAACCTTCCTTTTGTGGTATTGAACCTTGTGGTAAAATTTCATAGAGATCCATTCACTTAAACTAAAGTTAGAGTGTGAAAACCAATGTGTCTTCGGACGACGCCAGACGACGACGACGACGACGATGACGCCAACGTCATACCAATATACGACCACAAAAAATTTTTTGCGGTCGTATAAAAATGAAAAAAACTATTTCCAAAATATCCTTCATCATTAATACAATGTCTTTAAAAAATCTATAAAACTAACCTCTAATTATATATCTAATAATGAACAGTAAATTTCAAACTATATTTATACATTATTTCCAAAATTAGAATATGATGCTATATCTATTATTTACTATGAATCTACTAACAATTTCTTTTAATTGTGCAATACAGCTCTGAATTTGGATTGTGATTAAATATTTGACATAGCATAGGTTTCTGACACAGAATGAATGTTGTCAAAAATCTTAACAATTTGAAATTGGACTTTTACCCATTATGGTTCAAAACACCGTGTCAGAATCTTAATCACAACAAAAACAAACAAATATTTAACAAAGAAGCACAAAAAAAGCATATATCACATTTAACAACCTCATTCATTGTAATGTATATTGTTATGTAATGGTATCTAATTTGGATAATGATGTTTAGATTTAGTATGTTATATAATAAAAGTTTTCTTAAAAATGTGTTGTGTATAAACTATTAAAAGAAAATAATAGATAATTATAAGTGTGTTTACATTAGAAGAAAACGTAAACTGAAGACAAATCTATCACCAAATAAGCAAATAAAATTTAGGCAATTCAGCATCTTGCAACACCTAGTTTGTAAACACCCTAACACAAATGCCTTAAATTAATTTTTTGACAAATGTGTTTTTATATCAAAAATAAAGGGAAAAAAAGTAGGTGACAAATACTTTTGTCCCTGCACTGTAGTTCAATTTGCTGTTCCAAAAACGATTCCCTGTAAATAGTAATTTAGGGGCAATACCTCCAATTGTGGAATGGGGCCTATGTGGCCAAGTGGTCTTCGTAGTTAAACTATCATGTCAATAGCCTGTCAACACTGAGGTTGTGAGTTTAAAACCAGCACGTGGCAGGCGAATTCAACTCCAATCTTAATTGACTAGGATGGTCAAGAAATCATGCCCCACTTGCAGTATCACATTTCATTATTCAGTAAACTGCAAAATTCGGGCCAAAACAATAATTTGACATATATTTTAAAAACAAAATCATCCTAATTAACATTATAACTAATTTAAAGTTAATGTGACCCCAACTTCATGGTTAACAATCTTAAACCAAAATTTTAAGGGACCGGCAATAGAAAGAAACGATAATAGGAAGAAGCAAGTTTTCCAGTCTCTGCATCCACCCACTGGTAAGTCTATTTGTAATAACATAAAAACATATATTGACACCTCTGTTCTGTTTTTAGCCTAAGCCTCAATGTTTGTTGATGGATTATATCCCTAGATATAATTTACAAACCAGATGCACTAAGAAACATTCAGGTATTTTTTGACAGCATTCAGCAAAAATTATTAAAGGGCAACAACTATGAAAAGTCATCTGACAATTTTGGTCAAAATAGACAGTTCTTTTCTTGACTTCCTGAAGGTAAAATGGAAATATAAGCTGTTTTTTAACATACAATTACCTCAATACAAAAATCTACGACTGTTTTCATATGGGGAACAAGTATGGCTACTTCACATTCTAACATCTCATCAAAAACTTCCAGAACTTCACATGCTTGATCCTAAAAAATACATATATATTTTTCAGAATATTTTCACATTTTGCTTACATTTGTATTTCAAACTCAAAGAAAAGTAAATCTCCCCTAAGTAATGTGGACTACAATCACAAGGTGGGAGTATGCTTAAGTCCAATTACTCCAGCATAAAGTGAAATGATATATGATAGCTTTCTGTCAAACAAACTCAGAGGTTGCATTGATACGGTGTTACAATGATCAACAAGACCAAAACCTGGTCTGGACCTGCGTTACTGCATGCAATTGATTGAGGTAACACATATACCTGAGCATAATTGACCTTTCCCAGACTAAATATTAAAATAATTCACTTCAATAGGAGCCAAAAAAAACTTTGACTAAAATTTTCCTTGTACAATGAGTGTTGTAAAATTTAAAAGTATCGGCAAACAAAATTACTCTCTACTCAACATTATCAAGCTGCAGACCAAATATTAAATCATTCCCTTTAAGGTATAGAACCACTAATTTGGGCCCCGTCAGAAAGAACATACAAGAAAGTAGTACATATTTTAAACAAAACAATTCCTACCCATAGCTGTAACTTTGTCAATAAGTACAATATTTGGGTAATGTTGGTATCAAATGAAAGCTTACAGACTTGTGATCACTGTAGAGCCCTTGTTTTGAATATTAAAAAAAATGTTTGAAATACTAATACTAACATTTGCCCTATTTTTCAGATCAGAAGTACCTGTGCTTGTACTACCAAACTTCTGGGAACCAGTGCGCTCTAATATGCAATTAAAGGTATGTTGAATTTTTCAGGATAAGTTATAGTTTTGACATAAAATGACTGTCACTTTATTTGAGCTTAAGAAAAAGTAGCCATTAATGCTTGAAATTATAGAAATTTACATAGAAACCAATGGGGCTATGAACTAAAATTTTCCTTGTACAATGAGTGTTGTAAAATTTCAAACTATCGGCAAACAGGAAGATGGCTTACTCTCTGCAATTCAACATTATCAAGCTACAGACCAAATATTAAACCATTCCCTTTCATAGAAGCCAAGAAAACTTTTGACAAATTTTTCTTTCAGACGGACGGACGCAGTCGAGAATTTCTAGACCTGCTTCCGTCTTTGTTGAAGCTGGCATACAGGGTCAAAGTCCCATTACTCCCATCGTCAAATATAATGGCAGAATAGTATGGTTAAACTACACATGATGACAAACAATACTACCAAGTATGAGAGCTGACTATCTAACAGTCTCAGAGCTGTGAAATGGTTGTGTCTTAAAGAGAATAGACCTTGACCTATTGGTCATTAATACCCTAGGTCACTTTTGCTATAAATGTTTTAGGTTTTTAGATATAGGCCAAAAACTGTGAAATTTCTAAACATTTACATTTCATGAGCAATAACTCCTAAATAGGTTGACCGATTTTCCTTATAAATTTCATAGATCATAGCTGTCAACTGACCCGTATCCTGCGGGTCACACCGGAGAATTTGACCCCTTATCTGGGTTTTTAAAATACCCGCTGGGTGGCCAAATAACCTGTTACCCGGTAATCGGAAAATGACCCGCTTTCACCCAGATTTTTTACCGGTATTGATTCCGGTATTTAGAGTTGAAATATACGTTCGGTTTTATCAGCTTTTAACCTTGGAAGAGGAAAACAATAGAAAAGTCAAATTTTAGGATTTGTTTACCTGTTTACCAGGAGCTACAATATTTTCAAGGTAAGTTTAATTGATTAGTGAGCATTAATCAGTTAATTGAGTAAACTTTAGTTTGTCAGTTCAACATAATGTCCGAATGAAAGTGGTCCCTATCTGGGCCAGCTTGTTCTACTCCAAGTAAAAGGAAAAAGTATTCATCCTCATACAAAAAATGCTTGGAATCTGAATTTAAATGGGTGAAATCGAGTGAAAGAAGTCAGAATGATGCGTACTGTATTCTTTGCACTTCCCACATCAATATTAGTGCAGGGGCAAGAAATGATCTTGTAAGACAAACAAAAACACTGATTCATTCAAAAATGGAAAAATCTCAAGCAGAATCAATAGGCATGGTATCTTTCCTCTCAAAAACCAAAAGTGTACTGATAAGATTGCAGAAACTTTTTCAAATTTTGTGGCAGAGCATAATCTTGCTTTTGCTGTTTCTGGCCATTTCCCAAAATTATGCAACATTATGTTCACTGATAGTGCAATAGCTGCAGGTTATTCTTGTGGGAAAACAAAAACCACCCAGATAGTGAAAAGGGCCATTTCAGTAGAAAATAGTAAAGTGGTAGAAGAAAATTGTAAAACTCAACCCTTCACAATTATGTGCGATCAGAGCAATGATAGAGGGAATGACAAATTATTTGTTATTCCTGTCAGATACTTTTGACAGTATTTTGGGTGACACTGTCACTAGATTTCTTGATATATGCCTATTGTAAACATAGGAAATGCTCAAAACTTATTTGATGCCTTGGACAATACACTTGAGAAAAAACAAATTCCTTGGAAAAATGTGTTTGGTTTTATGTCAGACAATTGCTCTGTCATGAAAGGCAGAAAAATTCACTTCTTTCTAGGATAAGACAAAAGCAACCAAATGTTGTAAATATGGGATGTATTTGCCATTTAGCAAATCGCTGTTGTGGAGCAGGGGTTAAGGAACTTCCCTTACCAATCGATGACTTTATCTTTGATATTTATTATCACTTCCAAAAATCCTCCAAACGAATGGAAAATTGTACAAGGAATACCTAGCATTTTGTGATGTTGAACCGTTGAAAATATTAAAACATGTCAGTACCAGATGGTTATCACTTCAAACATGTATTACAAGTATATTGCACCACTGGCCAGCTTTGAAAAGTTATTTCAATAGTCACCAAGATGTGGAAAAGGAAGGCAGAGTGAAACGTGTAGGTAAACATCTTATGAATCCAGAAATGATACTTTATTTCCAGTTTCTAGAATTCATGTTGGCACCTTTAAATGAATTCAATACTGCATTTCAGGTACATGTATAAATTGACTTTCTTAATTGATTGAAACCATACATTTCTTTCAGGCCTGTGTGTAATAAACTGACACCACCCCTATATAAACAAGCTTATACAGGTAACAATACAACTAACAACAGGTATAATTAATCTCAATACATGTTTAATTGTCACTGATCATGTTTATATATAAGCAAATGTATGTGATGTAACGTTTGTGGGTCACTTTATTTGGTTCATTTATTTATTTCATTATTAGTATTTTTAATTATTTTCCCAGAAAGATTTATTATTATTTTATTACTTTCTGATTTTTTTTTCATTCATTAAATTTTAGTGACATAACGAACCTTGCATTAGCCTTCAAAATATTTTTCCTTTCTCAACCAATCAGAGAGCTCAATTGAGTTCCCAGGGAAAATTAGCTCGTGCAGTGATTGTCTTCTGGTAATCATTCCCAGCTCAGATTCTCAGGTGTGTAGACGTAAGTTAAAGAGGGAATTTTCAACCATGTGCGCGATTTTTTGGAAGTGGTCTCGGTGAGGAATCTTGCGCTATTTTATATGCTAATACTAGTGTATTGAAGAAAATGTGTATTACAGTATTTTTAGGTAAGAAGTTCCCCCTCCTATTTATGTATATATTTTGATTGACTAAAACTGGCTAGTTTTTGATCAGGGTTTGCATTGTATATTTAGCGGAAACTTAGAATATTTACCCACTGAGGCGTAATTTATTTAGAAAGCGGTTCGCTGGTTAAAGGAGTTAACTTATGAGTTGAGTGTTTGTATAGTTCTTTGAACTGAATAAAAGTTGTCAGTTTGCGAATAACGAGATTCGATTAACTGTTCAGCTAGTCAGTTGTTAAGGTTAAAGTTATTTATAGATCGCTGGTTAAGAAAGTAAAAGTTCGGGGTCATTATTTGTTGACATTAACGTGCGTGTCTCAAATCTATGACTTGAACTTAAAGACGGTAAATTTAAGTATTGAAGTGCTAACTAGCGAGTTCTAAATGCAAACCCTGAGCAGAATGGCAGAGTGAGTCGTTAGAGAAAATTATAGATACTAAAACAATTTATTTCTTGGTCTAAGAAACTACTATAGAGACTGCAGAATTGGACCATTGACTCACCAAAACTGTAACAAATTAAATGTGCAGCTGATTCATATATGTGTTGTTTAATAAAAGTTGTACTTTACTGAATTATTTTATTACAGAGAAACGCCTTATCCCTTGCCCGAATTGGTCTTTTGATTAAAAATTAATCCCGGTTACTTCCCTTTGTATTGGTATCAACCTAGATCTCGACCTATTTTGATGAGCCTGGGTATCAGTGTTTCTTGATTACAGACCGTTTGTGAGAAAGCATATTCAGGACAGAACGAGTCTTATTTTGTTTTAACTTCCCTTCAGTAGTTTATTTTTTTTGGTTCTTGTTAATTGTATATTTGGTATACTGGTGGAAATAGAGAACTAGTTTTCGAAAAGTCTTATGACTTATCTTTACATTTGGGGTGCTGTGCTTGAAACGACCAAAATTGTTAGGTCGGGCTAGTTACTTTTGGTCCGTCGGTCTGCCGCCTCTTTATTCCTTGTTTAACCCCAGGCTTGTTTAAAGTGTTTTAGTTTTTATTCTAGCACATACAAAAGTCTATACTATATTGTTAGTGTGGGATTGTACATCATATTTGAGTGGAAAAATACTGAGAGATTTATATACAGGTGTAGTATATTTCTGGACTACTACCAAAACTACTGAGTTTGGGATTGTGATTTCTCTTGTAAACTAAGACCGCCAGATCCTTGTATATTTTGTAATGATCCAGATTGTTATTCCTGTTGGTCACTATAGTCCGATACTATGATAGCATGACTGTGGTCAAGGTCAAAGGTTACGGCCTGTTTGGCCATAAGAGCAGTCCAGACCCTCTTTATCCACCATTGGAGAAAGATACTCCTGACTGTATCTCGAAAAAGTACTGAACTTCAGACACATCTAGTTCCAGAACACACATCTAAAATCATTTATAAACTGGTGGTATGGACCGGTAAAAAGAATACCTAATAAAACTTTAAAATATTCCAGTCGGGCATAACTATAATAGAAGTCCTAGAGCGAAAGCATAGGCCGAACCCTACCCCAGATTAGACTAAAGGAAACAGTTGGGTTGCTGTCTAGTAGATATTAAGTTGAGGTCGCATAGACAGTACCCCGGTTTCGTATACATTGTATACATTGTAGATCCATTTGTATTTACATTTTTTGTATCTTTTTCAGGTGAATGCTGCATAGTTCTTCATGAACAAATAACCAGACTGTTGAGGAAATTTTTAGGGAAGTTTGTTAAGGTGAAATGCATTTCTTCTTGTAAGAACATTTGTAATGTAAATTACCATGACTGTGAATATCAACTGTCCAATGATCTCATTGCTGTTGGCACAAGAAATAGAAGCTACATTGTAGACTGTGATGATTTAAAAAAGGAAACTGAGGCCAAATTTTTCACGTAAAGAAATCTTGACTCTAAATTTTTTTATATATACTAAATGATGTAATTGAATGTAAAAGTATTTTAACATCTATAGATTTGAACAAATAAAGAATATGTCAAGGTGACAGCAACACAACAATAAAACAAATAAAATGCTCCGCTAGGCGCAGCTTGATACGACCGCAGAGGTCAAACCCTGAACAGTTGGGCAAGTATGGACACAACATTCAAGCTTGATACAGCTCTGAATTTGGATTGTGATTAAATATTTGACACAGCATAGGTTTCTGACACAGATTGAATGTGGTCTAAGAACTTAAATTTTTTTAATTTACCTATTATGGTCCAATATCCAAAATCTAAATACATGGTTAGATTCGGCATATCAAAGAATCCAAAGAATTCAATTTTTGATGAAATCAAACAAAGTTTAATTTTGGACCCTTTTGACCTTAATATGGACCAATTTGATAACGGGGCCCAAAAATCAAAATACATGGTTAGATTCAGCATATCAAAGAACCCCATATATTCAATTTTTGTTGAAATCAAACAAAGTTTAATTTTGGACCCCAACTTGGACCAACTTGAAAACTGGGCCCATAATCAAAAATCTTAACACATGTTTCGATTCAGCATATCAAAGAACCCCAAGAATTCAATTTTTGTTAAAATCAAACTAAGTTTAATTTTGGACCCTTTGGACCTTAATGAGACCAATTTAAAAAACGGGACCCAAAATTAAAAATTTAAATACACGGTTAGATTTGGCATATCAAAGAACCCCAATAATTCAATTTTTGATGAAATCAAACAAAGTTTAATTTTGGACCCTTTTGACCTCAATATGAACCAATTTGATAGCGGGGCCCACAAATAAAAAATCTAAATACATGGTTAGATTCGGCATATCAAAGAACCCCATATATTCATTTTTTGTTGAAATCAAACAAAGTTTAATTTTGGACCCTTTGGACCTTAATGTAGACCAATTTGAAAACTGGACCAAAATTAAAAATCTAAATACAAGGTCAGATTCGGCATAACAAATAAATAAATGTGGTCAAAGATTTTACAATGCGCCATACTGTGCAATTAAAGATTACTTCTTGAAATTTTTCAATATTTGAAATTTGAAAAAAAAATAATATTTGAAGAATAATTCTTTTTAATTTCTGAAATCTGAAATGAGAAAAAATTTACCCCCTCCCTCCCCCCCCCCCCCCCCCCCCCCCCCTTTTCCCCCAAAAAATTCTTTCCCTCAAGATATGGTCATAATCTCAATTCAAATTTCCAATGGAATTTGCAACCATAATTTACCATAGTGCTAACTTAATCTATTTTATAATAGAATTTAAAATATGGTGTCAAATCTTTCATATGGATTTATTTGTAAAAAAAAAAGATGCAACATTTGCAGATATTTTTACTGGTCTTCCTTTATAAATAGGCATTTCTTTAAACATAATTTAAAAGCAGTGTAAGGGAAGTAATCAAAACATTGTATTTGGGTTACCTCCCTTACACTGTTTTAAATTGTCTTTATTGTTCATTAACCATTAATTTATACATAATTTAAAAGCAGTGTAAGGGAGGTAATTCAAATGATGTATTTGATTTATCTCCCTTACACTGCTTTCAATTATGTTTTGTACTAAAGTATTTGTCCATTAACCAGGACAACTTTGTTTTTCCCCCTTTTTTGCCCCTAATTCCTAAACGGTTTGAGCCATAACCCCCCAAAGCAAATCCTAACCATCCCTTTGTGGTATGGAAACTTGTGGTATAATTTCAGAGAGATCCATACACCGTTCCGAAAGTTATTGTCTGGAAACTAGAAAATGCTTATTTTTGGCCCCTAATTCCTTTACTGTTGGTACCATAACCCCCAAAATCAATCCCAACCTTCCTTTTGTGGTATTTAACCTTATGGTAAAATTTCATAGAGATCCATTCACTTAAACTAAAGTTACAGTGCGAAAACCAATGTGTCTTCGGACAACGACAACGACGCCAACGTCATACCAATATAAACAGATATGAGTTCTTCAATACCATGAAGGTATCATAACATATGCTTGTGAATAGTCCTACATTTAAGTCAACATGGTTAAAACTAGTTCTGAAAATAAAATCAATATTCTGTTATTAACAACTTATTATTGAAGGCCAAATTTCTACTACATCTATATTTTTAAATCAAATTTACTTTTTCAGGCAGGTTAAACAGTTTTATTGTAGTGTGGTTGCAAAGATGATAAAGAAATTTCCTTTCAAAGATGAGACACTTGTACATGTTGGATTTCTGAACCCAGCAATGAAAGACAAAGTTTCAACTGATTGTGGTAAGACTTCATTTACAATATGTATAAATTAGCCAACAACAGAACAAAAACATCTCATAAATATATTTCATATACCTAGACCATAAAAGTTTATTGGTTTTTTTTTTCAGTGATGAAATTGGTGGATACATTTCCAAACCTACTGAATAGTGAGGAAACATTACAGCTTCAAGAGGAATTTACTGACTACCAGCTAACACCATTGGAAGAATTACCAAAATGCTCTTCTCCTGAAACTGACATTGCCACTTTTTGGGGAGAAATGTCAAATTTACATGACATTTTCTCAAATAAAGCTAGGTTTTTTGTGAATATATATGGTTTAGGCGTGGGGATCTCAAACGTTTACAAGTTCTTAAACAGGATGGGGTGGGGTGACCCCAGGGGGCCTTTTATTTCATTTGATTTGTTTTATTGTCCCATACAACAATTTATATGGTTTCGGGGTGGGGATTTTGACCGTTTACAAGTTTTCAAAAAAAAAGGGGGGTGGGGGTGACACCCGTGGACTTCCCCTATATTTCATTTGATTTGTGTTATTGTCCCTTACAAGAATATATATGGTTTAGGGGTGGGGATCTGGACCGTTTACAAGTTCTTAAACAGGAGGAGGGTGGGGGTGACCACCGGGGACTCACCTTATATTTCATTTGATTTGTTTTATTGTCCCATACAAGAAGATATATGGTTTTGGGTGGGGATCTTGACCGTTTACAAGTTTTCAAAAAGAAGGGGGGTGGGGGAGAACCCGGGGACTCCCAAAATATTTCATTTGATTTGTTTTTTTGTCCAATACAAGAATATATATGGTTTAGGGGTGGGGATCTCAATCATTTACAAGATAAAAGCACATTCTCAAATTGAAGGGGGGTGGGGGTAAGAATATATATGGTTTGGGGAGACTTAACTATCTACAAAATGTCTAAAATTTCAAATTTCATTTATACAGTCCTTATAGTAAATTTCAAACTTTATATATACAGTCCTACAGATCTTATCAGGAAAAAGAAAATTTTCAAATAAATCTGTCACTCCAATGATATTATATGCTAAGATATAACCCAGATCTAATTAATAATTAATAATGTAATTAACTTCAAAATGTCTAATAATATAGCTTATTATCATTACCACTTAGGAAATAGATAATTTTCAAATAAATCTGTCATTCCCAATTTTTATTGTGAGATAAGACATTATGCTTAGTCATAAAAAAGATAACAAGAGTAAAATATTTAAAAATTCCACTTTTGGATAATAAAAATGGCAATAACTCACAAAGGAGATATACAAAAATCTTGAAAATTGAACTAGACCTTCATTAAGTCCCAGGAAACAACATATTTAAAGGAGTAGGTTCAGTAAGACCCCTTTTTGGCCCCAAAATATAGCAGTTTTGCAAAATTGTTAAAATGTAAACTTTTAGCTATTCTTTGGAAAGTAGAATACTTCTGTTACATACATATGGGCTGTTTTTGATAATACAATGTATATTTATCGGGTACTAGCATCATTAAGTCATGCTAAATTACTGAAATCTTCATAATTTTAGCATTTGAGTGAATTTTTAGACGGTTTCCGTCTTAAACGGACGTGGCCGCATTTGTGTTCATTCTTAATATTTAAATATAAGTTGTATTTGATGATAATACATAACATATATAAAGGTTGAGGATGAACACCAATGCGGCCACTTTCATTTTTGACAAAAACCATCTGAAAAGTGACATATTATGGCATATTTGATAGATTTGTAACATTTAAGCTTGAATATGAGAGTCTTTAATGACTAAATCAGTTCAAATCTTTCACATAAATAAATTGATTCTACTAAAGTAGACACGTAAGTGTTTAAAAAGTGTCCAAAATCTTTCATCGGATGAACCTGAAATTTGGGGCCAAAATCGGCCCTTACCGGACCTACTCCTTTGAAAAAAATTTGTTAAAGCGTTTTCATGTTATTGTGCTGACACTGTTTGGCAGCCGCCCGTAGATCCGCCCAGCCTCCCGCCGTACATCACCATTTTAATAACTGATATTTCCTTCGAAAATCCGGTTAAAAAGTCATGATAAACTAATAAAAAAAAGGCAGGACTAAATAGAGTGAAAAATAAAAAGGCAGGACAGAGATTACAACTAAAAAAAAATGCAGGACAACATTTTTCATCCTAGCCCCCCCCCCCCATAAAAATCAAATGGTAGCTCCCTAACATGCAATCTCGAACATTATACAATTATTTTCACAATATTCGTCCAAACAATTTACATACCAATGATGGTATGGAAAGGCAATTTTATAATTATTTGGACTACAAACAATAAGACTTTCACAAGTATGATTCTAAAAAATTCTTAAAGGATTCCGTGCAACACTGTGTCTCATCTGCGATTGCTGCTGTCAGTATAAATATGTATTGTTGACTGTAAATACAGTACTTGCAACCTTAGGCGTTACTATTTTAGCAATCAATCAGGGGTCATCGATCAGTCACCGATCAGTCAAGTTCGTGTCAAACTCACGTCACCAATACGTCAGACTAATAAGAAAAAATATTTTACTGATCGGACAGATCGGACGGATTGACCTTTCTGACGGATTGAACTCTACTACGTCACATGTTGAACTCATACAAATTACGGAATCTTAGTTTCGTTTCATTTAATTAAAATGGTGCCATGGAAAAATACGAGTGGTTCAAGAACAGAAGCTCGACATTTTATTATTAATCATTCAGCAAAGTTTTAAGAAATAAAAGAGAAGAGAAATATGCAGATACAACTAAATTTAAATATTATTAAAGAATTGTGATTGTCGATTATATTTAAGTCATTTTTTCAAACCC